ACATAAGTGCGCCACAAGTTTTGTCAGAATTAGCTTCAAAGTTCACGAAAGATGCTTATTGTTATGATCGTATTCCGTTGTTGATCTTTTTTACCCTGTCGTTTAAGTCTCTAGTCTCTACTTCCATCCTGTTGCAAGAAACATAAGGAAGCCACCATTTTTGTCCAAAATCAGCTGCAAAGTTCACGATAGCTGCTTACTGTCATTATTATATTTCGTCGTTTATCTTTACTATCCTGTCTCCTGTCTCTCCTTTCATCCCGTTGCGATAAATATCAGGAAGCCACATGTCTTGCCTAAAATCAGCTTCAAATTCACGAAAACTGCTTGTCGTCATGATTATATTTCGTTGTTTATGTTTCCTATCCTGTCGTTTAAGTCTCTAGCCTCTACTTGCATCCTGTTGCAAGAAACACGAGGAAGCAACAAGTTTTGTTCAAAATTCGACGTTTACAAAAACTGCTCATTGTCATGATTACATTTCGTTGTTTATCTTTCCTATTCAGTCGGTTAAGTCTCTAGTCTCTACTTCCATTCTGTTGCAAGATACACGAGGAAGCCACAAGTTTTGTCCCAATTTCAAAGTTCACGAAAGCTGCTTATTGGAATGATTATACTCCGTTGTTTATCTTTCCTATCCTGTCGTTTAAGTCTCTGTATCTACTTTCATTCTGTTGCAAGAAACATAAGTAAGCCACAAGTTTTGTCCGAAATCAGCTTCAAAGTTTACGAAAGATGCTTATTTTTCTGATCAAGATTAAATTTCGTTGTCTATCTTTCCTATCCTGTCGTTTAAGCCTTTGGTCTCTACTTTCATCCTGTTGCGGGAAACATTAGAAGTAAGCCACAAGACACAAGGAAGTTTGGCAAGCAAGTAGGCTCATATGGTGTTTTTCCCCAGCACGGGCGATCTATAGCTACTGCTTCAACGTCACTAGAAGACCCGTTCGAACCGCGAAAGAGAGAGAGAGAAAAAAGGAGAAAAAAGTTGGTCACTCTCGAAAACCCACAGCGGAGGTGGCCTAATCCTGAACCCTGGCTTCGTTAGGATTTGCCTATTTCGGCCACAATAGCTCCGAAAAGAGGCCGCCGCTCCTTGTGGTTTCCCAAGCCGGTGGCCGTAACTCACTGACCGCCGCGACGGTTCTCACCGAGGCCCTCGGCGCAGATCCCGTTTCTGCAGGCCCGTCCGTCACCGCTCAGTCAAAACCGCCGGAACTACGTTGAGTTCCTTTGCGAGATAAGCGGTTTTTGTTCGGTTCGACAGTGCACTCTGCGGGCCCACTCATGTGGATGCACCGTCCGTGGCGCCAGGCACCGTAGTTTGGGTTCCGCTGTATTCCCGTCATCGGGGAAAACGCCGTATGACCATTCACACGTTGCCAAATTTCTCTTCATACAACATTCACTGGAAAAAAAACATTGGATCTACAGTCCAGACTCTTAAAAACATCGACAAGAAAAAGTACTCTTGATTCAATCAGAATCTAGCTCAAATCAAGAACCAAGCCGCTTAATTTAAGCGGATTTCGTTTTGATTCAAGCAAAAATCCGATTGAATCAAGAGTATTTTTTCTTGTCAATGTTTTCAAGAGTCTGGACTCTAGATACAATGTGTTTTTTTCCAGTGTTTATTTTAGAGGAATGTTACGAATATTCGTCTTAAAATTCAGGCACTCCGGTCAGCGAATACCGAAAAAATCGGGAAAAGTCAGGAAAAATGACGAAAGTGCCAGGGAAAGTTTTATAATTTACCGCCATCAGCTTTCTCGAGTAGATTAAACGTTTAGAACTACACATTCTGCCTGGAAATTATTTCAAATTATGTCTTTTTGGCCGTAGGGCATATCTGTAATTGTCAGGGAATTTTATTTTCTTATTTTTGTGCCAACCCTGTAAATTGCTAATAATAGAGTATCTATAAAGGGAGAGTACAGACATTCCGGTTTTTTGCCCACCAATCAAAGAGTGAAACAAAACAAAACAAAATTTAAATTTTAAATACATTAGCTTTTTTTTAAAAAAAAATTGGCAACATGCGAATGCTGCTAAGGTGAGCACCTCAGTCGGTCTGCAGGGGCTGCGCTGTACAATTCCGTGTTGTCATTCTCATTGTGCGATCTGTTGACCAGTGTGGTGAGCTTTCCAGGAGTCAGTATGACACCGATTCTCAGCATTCCTCCCGCGAGGAATCCTGGGTAACAATTAGTATTCGCACCAAAAAGAAACCGACTGGAAATAACTTGGTGCGGTAATGGCGAGGACTTTCAACACAGGCGCCAGTCGACCCACGTGAATTTCGTCTGCGAATTCGCCAATGAGAGCCGTTTATTTCTGATGAAAGTTGAATGGGTTGGTTTTCTCAGTTAGCATAGGCGGGTCCAATCCATTGCCAGATGTACTCCTAGAAAAACCTTATTTTTGAGGGAAGTTATGCATGTTTTTATTGAAATTCTTATACGCTTCAGATCAAATTACGAACGAAATTCTCTGAAAATTGAGAGAGGATTACTCATAGATTTTCCCGAAAATTCATGATTTGCCAAAGTAAGTTTAGCAACGTCTAAAAGCTTATAGGCCGATTCAAAGGAGGAAGGAAGCACAGGGGGCGCATGTCCCCCCCTCCCGAGAATAAGGAGGAAGAAAGAGGGAACAAAGAAAAAAGGAAGGTACGGAGGAAAGAAGGAGGAAGGTCGCTTGGATTTGGTAATTATTCATGACGGAATTGACTCAAACTGCTTATTAGATACTTTAACATTTTGATAACTTTCTGGAGGAGCTCCTCGGAGTCCCTTCAAACAGCCTCCCCCCCCCCATCCCGTTGGAAGTGTTTGGATCCACCTATGTCAGTAAGGAACTATGAAAGTGTGTGGTGAAACGTTGGCCTCAGTTCAACATGGTTTTGAAAATACTAAGCTTATCAAAGCATTGTCTTGAGATCTTTAGTCTTCTATTTTTCTGGACGCATAGAAAGACTTTCCAACATGCCATCAAAATGATGTACCTAGATTTTTTCCATTGACTGTGTTTGCATTCTCACAACTTCCGGCGCTTGACGCCACGGCTCTCGCTTTCGTGTTCGTCGAACACAACCATAAGCTGCGAGTAGTCTATGGTATCGTTATCGATTAATTTCGATTGATAGATGGTATCTCTACAGGAAATTATCGATAGTGGTCATTCGATAATCGAATCTCGGGGAGCTTTCTGGAAACGCGCGAATCTGGCGGTCGTTAAAAGTGTAGAGCCTCATTCACCATCGAATAAGGAAGGCGCTTTCGAGTAGAGGCAACCAAAACGTGCTCATGTGCTAATGATGCGTATAAAAATCTCTCCCAATTGTTCTTACCGCCAATTCTTCCCTCTCCTCTTCTCCTCATTCCCCTTTTTTATGAGGGATTGTTCGCCGGCGAGTACAATCGGGATGAGCGCAAGGATGTCGGATTTTTTGGAAAATTTTCGAAAAAAATCTCACGAAACAGCATGTGAATATTTGTCAAGCTCAAGTGACGTGGTAGATCTGGCATGCGATATATCGCATCAATTAGGTCAAAAATCTCGGCAGATTTTGAATTTTTAGCAAAAAAAGGACGATATCCCCTGCGCATGAGCCTAAACAGTCATTCTAAACCCAAAAATCGGCAAAATATAGAGAAATGAAAGCAGAATAGTGTTTGGAAAAAACCTCGCCTTCCTTCAGCTATCAATTTCTGTATCCCCGGTAACAGTTCTGGATTCCGGAACTTTTGAGATTTTCCTAAATTTTTCCCGGAACTTTTGAAATTCCCAAAATGTTCCTAATATTTTGCATTTTCCGAAACTTTCTCGGAACTTTTGAAAAAATCTACGAGGAATCCCAGAACTTTTGACGATCATGGAGTGGGAGACATTGGAACAAAAAAGCTCCGAATCCCGGAAAACTACTCTAAACTTACCAATTTCGTGGGCAAGGCGTGCGATTTTTGAGCAACGCCATACCGTCCTCTCAGCCTGAACCGCACACGTCCGGCGTTTACACACGGGAACATGCCCCCCTTCCCTCGTCCCCCCTTCCCCACCTCGGGCCCCTCTGTCAATCACCCGGCCCGCTTATCAGTTTCGACTCGTCCCGACTTTCACGTGCTTCGTGCGAGTGAGTATACTACGAACCGATAAATCCGCTGACTTGGACGCGGCCTCTTTCCCCCCTCTCCCCCTCTCCCCCATCACTAGGGTAATGGGGGGGGAGGGGGCACTGGCGAAAAGGTCATCTCCTGTAAATAATCGAGCTTACGAATCTCCCGGGCGCTTTTTATTGGCCCCCGGTGAGTTGTCAAACTGTGCTCAAAAATCGGCCTAACTCACTGTGCGATATCGCGTTCAAAAGCACGATTTGGCAACGCTCCGCTCTGTTCTTCTTCTTTTTTTCGGGCTTTTCTTCTTTTCGCCGTTGTTTGGGTTCGCGTCGTGATCGGGCGCATTTGCATAGCCGTGCCGATCCGCGGCTCATCCCCGACGAGGTTGCCAAATTGCGAGACAAATTTTGGATATTTTTCCATAATTTTCACCGAATCCATGTACTTATACTGCCTTGCTAGGGAAAAATCCCGTACGAACCTTCGGGTGTCGCCTTCCTTTTGATGAAACACGAATTTCCTGGTAAACTTATGAATATTTTCCCTCCAATTTTTTAGATACTTTTGTTCGCAATTTCACCTATAGTTCCTGAAAATTTCAAGGAAAAATATTCATGACTTTTCTCAAAAAGAAACATTTCATCCAAGAAAATCCAGCTACTCTCGAATGCACATACGGCGTCTTACCTTAGCGAGGCAGTATGTAACTACAACATTATGTATCGGGACGAAATAGCGCGCGCCTTATTTTGAATTCCTCGAGCCGATACATTTTGAGGTTCAAAATTACAACTTTCACAAGCACTGAAATTAAAATAATACAGTATATTTAATAATAAATTTACTCAAATTCTAATGGATTTTTCTTCGTTTCTTTTGTTTCAGGTGCTATGGCATCTCGACATTTTTCGTCGCAGCTTTCGCGAGCTTTCCGGCCACACCTGCATGGCCGAATCGTGCATTTTCTGCGCTCTTAAGGTAAGTTCAAAACTTTCACATCTAAATTTTACTTTAAAGTGAGTTAATTCTGCTTGTCACAGAATCGTGCTTTCATAGGCGAATATTTCTATTCAGCAATCTAATACCAGACAAAACATTTAAATTAACATCTGTTTGATCAGTTTATTAAACTTTTATTTAATGAATATTAAAGTAAAAGATTCGTTTTTGAATATTTCGTTACATTAACACCCACTTATTGAATTCACACGCATTTCATTCTAGATTTAAGATCACAAATTAAGTTAAATTTATGAAAAGAGACTAAATCAAGAAAAACACAGCTACGTTCTTTTTTTCAAGTTTCTCTTTGTATATATTTAACTTAATTCGTAATCTTAAAACTAGAATAAAATTCATGTAAATTTAAAAAGTAGTTGTTAATTTAACCAACAATTTTAAAATGATCCAACAGACTTAATGCTAGAGAACTATCTGAGTTAACAACATATTGTTTGGACCGCGCTGAAATTCGTTAACAAGAATTACGGTCAATTCTACCATTCTTTTTTCCCTGACCTAGCGAATAATATTCGCTCCTCTTGTTTCTTTAAGAAAAGGCAATCTTATTAGCTCATCAAAAGCTCACTAAAGATAATTCAGCAATCACACTTAGCCACGATCATGTGTCAAGCAGCACAATCACTCTAACTAGTCTCTCGTTCATTCATCGAAGGCCTGATGACACCGTCGATTGGAAACATGTCGTGGTTTTTCCTCCAGGGGTTTTTATTTCCAGTTTTTTTCAGCCTTCATCTTCCCTCCGCTCGTTAGCGGAGGGAAAATGAAAGAACGACAATAAAACCTAGCATCGCCCGTAATTTCATTGACCTCGTCAACGAGACTCATCATGTTTCAAACACATATATTTCCAGACGGATGTGACTCATTTGCACAATTATATAAAATCAAGCGAGGAGGACTTACCTAGAAACAAAACCAATGGCAGTTGAGTCCTTCTCCCTCGATACCGTGCAATTATCCTCGTGATCGAACTTTCCTTCGACATAGCTACGGGGCATTCTGACGACCCAAGGTAAAACACCGTATAAACCTTCAGGCGTTGCCAAATTTCCCTCAATAAAATTTGAATTTTCAGGGAAATCCGCAAATACTTTTCATTTAATTTTTTAGAGAATTTGAAACGCAATTAGATTTTAATTTTCTGAAAATGTTGAGAGAAGATATGCATAATTCTCCTCAAAAATCAATATCTTATTGGAGGAAATTTGGCAACGCTCGAATGTCCATACGGCGTTCTTCCTTAGCACGACAGCATTCTCATTAGCATCGAACAGCGTCTTATCGGGTTGGTACACCTGCCTATTTTTCACCTTTAAACTCTGACGTCACACAGCCATGGATCGCTATTCGCGACATGTCCTCCGCAAGTCAGGGATCGCTCAAGTCGATTTCCATGCTTATAGGTTATGTAACATCGAAGGCGTTCAGGATTTCAAGTGTAATCGCTTCTCACTTTCGTGAGATGCACCGAGCGGTAGTTTCGAGGAATGCGTGTGCTTGAAGCGTGTGACGAATTCATTAATAAAACGCGCCGACACGCAAAATCTCATGATCTCTCGAACGGTGAGCATGCGGTGAAAATATGTAAAATTACGAAGAAAATGAGCCAAAAAGCACTGGAACTGGACTCTCCAAACGTTGAGTCTAATCAATAATACAGAGTGTTTTAATGTTTTTTTTTGTATGTACTGGGGAAAGAAAAATTATCATGGAGCTGTATTGGTCAGAAACTGTTCTTCTTTCTTCGCTCTTCTTTTGCTCTAGAAAAAATTGGAGGAGTATGCTTTGTAATGTAATTATGATTTTGCTCTCATGTAGAAGTGAACAACTCAGTTTAAGAAAAAGGAATATTTTCAAGTTGAAGCATCAAATAATTTTATGACAAAATCTGTCAAAGATTTGAAACAGCATTTCGCCCGTAAATGAAATTCGAAAATAGAACTTAAGGCTGGAAGGGGTGTTCCTCCATTCCGGTGTTTGTACAGAAAGACACCGCAGGGCAATTTTCTGGGAAGAAAATCTTGAATTCAAGAAAGTCCTGAAAATAATTTTCTTATGTTCTCAGATTTATAACTTTTATTATCAACTTGTGCGTCTTAGTTACTGTTGGTTTTCATCGTTTTTGAAGTGGAAGCTTAAAAAAACGCATACCTCTAACACAGATTATAATTTTAGAAGTGTATCTTAGACTTTTTTGTGCACTCATCGTGATTTTGGAGCCATTTTCTGAAAGAAACAACTCTTTCTTTTGCTCTGGCTGGAGTTTGCTGCAGGCCTATTAAAACTATCCATGGCATACCGTGGAGAGCTCGAGCTGACAAAATGGAGTATACTTGTAATTCGGTTTTCTCATATTAGGGCAGTATGTGTAGTAGGTAAACGCAAAAATCTGAGACGGAGTTACGGCGCTTTTGCAGCGGACGGCAAAACTAAACGCACAATTTTTTACACCGAGGCGTGCTTCCTGCATTCACACCCGTTTTTTGACCTAGACCGTCTACGCAACCACTTCCTGCGCACAGAAACCCACCCACCCGGGGTCCGAGCAAGTGAATCAAGGCGTCGATAGTAAAAGGGTCAAAGTGCGCCACCACTCTCTCGGGCCGTATGTTGCTGTGCTAAGGAAAAACGCCGTATGAACCTTCAGGCGTTGCCAAACTTCATTCGATAAAACACGAATCTCCTGGTAGCCTTACAAATATCCCTCTTCAAATTTTTCAGAGTGTCTTGTTCGCAAGTTCACCTCAAGTTTCTGAAAATTTTAAGGGAAAAATGGTTATATTTTCTCTCGAAAATGAAAATTTTATCGAAGGAAATTTGGCAACTCTGTAGTGTTCATACGACGTTTTTTCTTAGCACGGGAGTATACGGGGCCGGCGTGCGCTACGGCTTCGACTACGGCGCACAGTTGATCGAGTCAATTAAATATGTCGGACACGGAATTTTTGACAAAAACTACGATTTTTGATGGTTATCTCGTCACATTTTAAAGTTCAAGGGGTGCTACTAGCAGGAAATCCCACGAACAAACCAACTTCTAGGACCCCAAAGTTTTGTATAATCGGAGTTATAATCGTTTGAAGTTCCTAAATTTTATCCGACCTCTCCTATCGACCCGATCCACTGTGCGGGCAGGCGACCAGCGGTCTAAAAATGGGCATGGCGGAGCGGTCCAAGTCGAGGGTCCTCGAACCAAGCTCAAACCGCGCCGAGACAGAGTACACTCTCCGCGCCGAGATGCAAGCCAAGACCGAAAGAGGTCAACCGACTCGGGCCAATCCTGCAGTGCCTTCACCTCGCCGCTGATTGGTCGCCGCGCTCTGAGCCCCCGCGCCCGCGGCCGAGCCGTCGACCGCGGCTCAAAGCTCCGCGTGAGCCGTGGAGACCGTCTGCGCACGCGCAGTCCGTGGCTCAGAGCTCCGCGTGAACCGTGGAGACCGTCTGCGCACGCGCAGTCCGTGGCTCAGAGCTTCGCGTGAGTCCTGAAGACTGTCTGCGCACGCGCAGTCCGCGGCTCAACCGGTTGCGCGCTGGCTTTTGAGCCCTGCTTCGGGCTTCTCCGCGTGGTCGCCAGGAATCAGGTTGCTCTTGTTGGGCCGCGCATCGGGTTTGAGATGGTGGCGGTTGTGGCTCGGAACACTCATGGGGCTTCGGCTCACCTTAAAGCGGTGTTGCCGTTTATGTAATGAGACCCGGACGTTTTTAACGGGTCTGTTGTACACTGGAGATGCAGCTAACTCTTTATAGACTTTTCGTAGGTGCAATCTAGAAAGCGTATATTTTAGAGACCCTTACTAACAGACTCAGCAATGTATATCGGACAAGGCGAATTTTAAGTTCAGAAATCAACGCAAATTTCCGCCAGATGATGATCATTGGGCAACTTTTTGGAGACAAATCTAATATATTTCACCCAACGTTTTGGGTAATAAAAATGGACGAGTTAGTTCTACGTTTCTGACTTTGCGTTTAAGTCTTTCAACCAAAATTAGGCTAGGGGTGCTGAACCAGTTTAAAAATAGAATGAAGTGCAACTTAATGGACAAAAAAATTCACTCATTTTTGCGTGATGAAAATTGACCAGTTAATTCTACTTTTCTAACCTTGCGTTAAAGTTTTCTTTTTTCTTTTTTTTTTTTTTACAAAAATTAGGCTAGGATTGTTAAACCAGTTTCAAAACGGAATGTCATGCAACTTAATGGGAAAAAAGACAAATATAATTCACCCAATGAAAGTGACGAAAATTTACCCGTCCATTCTACTTTTCTATCCTTGCGTTGAAGTCTTTTTTTCACCAAAATTAGGCCAGGATTGCCAAACCTGCTCCTCGATTGTTGAATCGTTATCGAATGACCTTGATCGATGTATAGCATTGTTAAGATAGGGATTTATCGATCAGAAGCATTCGATAACGATTCAACAATCGACCCGCAGGTAGAAAATAGAAAGAAATGCAACTTAGTGGACAGAAAGAAACAGATATAATTCACCTAATGTTGAGTGCTGAAAATTTACAAGCCAATTCTACTTTTCTAACCTTGCGTTAAAGTCTTTTTTAAAATATTAGGTCAGGATTGGTAAACCAGTCGCTCAACTCGTTGTCACTAGTCATTATCAGGCGAATCTGAGCTTTAACCTCATTTAATAACTTTTACACAATAGAGACCTCATCAGTGCGAACTATATCTGAAATATATCGGCTCGGACCTCCATAAACAACAGTCCATTTTCTCTCATCGGAAAATCGAGGCATTGTTCGTAAGATTGGCAACTTCGGTTCAAAAGGCGCCCGGACCAGGGTCCGCGCAAGTCAGTGCCTCCCCGAGGGCGCACTCCACGGCTTGCAGTCGTGTAGTTGGCTCGAAAGTGACTTTCTAACAGCGTTGTCGGTGTCCCTCCGAAAGGTGAGAAATCCCACCTCAGGGCCGAAAGACCAGGGTGAATAATGCGGAATC